CTACATACTGAATCAGTCGTCGCGCTATCTACAGCTAAATCCGAAGCCGATGCGTTCATATCCTCGTATCGAGAAGATGTTGCTGTTACAAATGCTCGGGCCAAGAAGTTATCTGAAGAGGTCGAGCTTGAACTGACCCGATTCCTAGAACATGCCCGATTTATATCTCGGAGAAAGGCTCTCGAGGATGTACGTGCAAGGGGCATCGATTTGTCTAATGAGATCAAGAGGGTGAAGGCCCTAGAGGAAGAATCGGCAGCTCTGCTTTCTTCTGATGATGGTTCAGCCAGTGGTTCGTCTAGCGGCTCAGAGGATGATGAAGATGAAGGTGAAGTCCCCGGGGGGAGGAGGCCATTGATGTTCCAAGGGTCGAGGGCCAAGCCGTTGAAAGCAAAACTTCTGAGGGAGCTTCATCCGGTCAAGTGACTCCAACGGCAGATTAGGTTTTTATTTGTTCCTTTTTTGTGTAAGGGCTCCAGGCATGAGCCTTGCAAATATGACTTTGTGAACCTTTATTATATATAAGGATCTTTGCTTTTCGTCATTTCTTGCCTTCCCTTTGCTTTTTTGGAATAAATTTTGATGTTTGTCGATAATTAGTCTGATATGGAGGACTTTAAGATAAGAACCCTTAGGTTGTGCTTGATGAAAAATTGATAATAGTTGACCATTTAGAGCTCGGTCCTCGAATCAAGTTTTGACTCGGGCTCATTGACCCTTAGGATCTTTAGGTTGGCCCTTAGTCTCTTACGCATTGGCCCTTAGGCTCTTACGTATTGTCCATTAGGCTCTTTAGGCTGGCCCTTAGGCTCTTAAGCATTGGCCCTTAGGCTCTTTTTAGATTGGGTCGAAATGACCTCTAATTTGGATATAGTTTTTCCTTATTTTGGCTAAAGACTTTTGAAGTTTTGATTATGCCTTGGCATGTTATATGTTCGTCCAACTCTTCGATAGCTCAAACGAGAACCTCGGTTATGAGTTCATATGTGACGATAGTTGAGTACCTGGGGAGGTTTGATCGAAGGCTGAGTTTTTGAAACCTTTTCATCGAAGGCTGATTGTTTTCGAAGCCTTTTTATTATTCGGAGCTGATATTATCGAAGCTCCTTTGCTTATGCCGAGGGTAGTCTGATTAACTGGTTCTTTTTGAAGTATTTTCGAAGTATTTGGAGGCCTTTAGTTTTATGGCGGCAGCCGGACGTCTCCGAGTCGCGTTAATTCAGCTGTAGCCTTTTAGTTCGACCGTAGCCTTTAGTCCCTGGGTGCGGTGACCTTGGCTTCTATATCGAGGGTATGCCTTTTAGGGGTCTTACAAGTTCGAATATATAGTCTTGGCCTTAATATTGGGGTTATGCCTTTTTAAGGTCTTATAAATTTGAGTACGCCTTATTGAGGTCTTATAAGCTTGATATTGCCTTATTGAGGTCTTATAAGTTTGGGCATGCCTCGTTGAGGTCTTACATATTCAATGCTGCCTCACTGAGGTCTTACGAGCTCAGGTTTTTGATGGCTTCGATGAGCTGACTGTCGATGACAGTCCCCGAGTGTTCGAGGATTTTTGGCCCTTGAGTCGTTTTGCGAGATAGTAGTAAACTTCTTTGACATAGAGGCTTCTTTGATTACTTGATATATGTGTACATTTTCTTGCCTTTGGAGGCTCGATTGTTCTACATGGACATGGTTCATTCGACCGTTTAGCCCAATACAATATTTTCCTATCGAGATCATTTTTCAAAAAGATAACCTCTGAGAGGGATGACCCCCAGTATTCGAGGATTTTTTAGAAGAAGCCTTGAATACTTGTTAAGTTCTCCTTAGGTAGCATATAGATGTTGTCTCGTTAAAAACCTCGCCGGTAAAACTCATTTGGGATAAAACCGAATCGATGGGAAAAAGAATGCAACACATGCTTTTAAAAACCCAAGGTATTCGAATCGAAGGGCGCTCTGGCGTCTCCCATCGAACACCTGTAAAAAATTAGTATGAGACATAAAGCGAAAAGGGAGAAGGTTATACCTTAGCAATAATAGTGTTTGAGCATTGATATGTTCCAATTGCTTGGAAGTTGCTCGCCTTCCATGGTGTCAAGTTTGTAGGACCCTTTGCCTACTACTCCAAGGACACGGTACAGTCCTTCCCAGCTCGAGCCTAGCCTCCCTTCATTTGGGTTTCGAGTGTTGAGGGTGAATTTCCTTAGGACTAAGTCCCCGACTCCGAAGTATCGGAGGTTTGTTCTCCTGTTATAATATCTCTCAATCCTCTATTTTTGGGCGGCCATTCGGACTAGTGCAACCTCTCGCTTTTCATATAGTAGCTCGAGGGCTGTAGCCATGGCCTCGTTGTTCGAGTCCTTGGTGGCATGTAGAAATCTGGCGCTTGGCTCTCCGACCTCGGCCGACATCAAAGCCTCGAACCCGTATACCAAAAAGAACGGTGTTTCTCATGTGCTTGAATTCGAAGTTGTTCGGTATGCCCATAATACTTCGGGCAACACCTCTTTCCATTTTCCCTTCGCATTTTCTAACCTCTTTTTCAAGTTTTGGATGATGGTCTTGTTTGTGGACTCAACCTGTCCATTTGCACATGGGTGATAGGGCGTTGACAGGAATCCTCTTGATTTTATGATCCTCGAGGAATTTCGTCGCCTTGTTGCCTATAACCTGCTTTCCATTATGATATGTAATCTCGGAGCGGATCCCGAATCGGCATATGATGTGGTCCCAGATGAATTTAATGACTTCTTTTTCTTTTATCTTCTCGAATGCCTGTGCTTCTACCCATTTCGATAAATAATCAGTCATAAACAAAATAAATCTTGCTTTACCTGGCGACGCTGGTAGGGGGACGAAAATGTCCATCCCCTATTTCATGAACCGCCATGGTGATAAGACTGAATGTAGTTGTTCATCGGGTTGGTGAATCATCGGTGCGAACCTTTGGCATTTGTCACACCTTCGAACGAATTCCTTGGTGTCCTTCTCCATGCTGTCCCAATAGTAGCATGCTCTGATCACCTTTTGAACCAAAGAATTGACGTCGGAATTATTTCCACAAGTGTCCTCGTGGATTTCTCGAAGTACATAATCGGTGTACCCCGATCCCAAGCATACTACTAGAGGTCCGTCGAAGGTCCTTCTATATAGTGTTCCGTTCTCGTCGAGTGAAAATCGAGCTGCTTTGGATCGAAGGGCCCTCGATTCCTTTGGGTTTGTAGGCAGCTTCCCGTTTTTCAAATAGTCGATGTATTTATTCCTCCAATCCCATGTTAGACTTATTGATTTGATATCAGCGTGGCCTTCTTCAATCACTGACTTGCATAACTATATAACAGCCCCCGGGAGTATGTCATCTTCTTCGACAGACAACCTCAGGTTCACGAGTGCATCGGCCTCACTATTCTGATCTCAAGGAATGTGGACCAGAGTCCATTCTTTGAAACGATGTAATATGACCTGAAGTTTGTCTAAGTATCTTTGCATCCTGTATTCTCGAACCTCGAAGCTCCCATTTACTTGGTTGACTACCAGAAGGGAGTCGCATTTTGCTTCGACTACCTCTGCTCCTGGGCTTTTGGCCAGCTCGAGACCTGCAATCATAGCCTCATACTCAACCTTATTGTTAGTGAATTTCGGAGTTTTTATAGATTGCCTAATCATGCGGCACGTAGGCAGTTTTAGAACGATGCCGAGCCCGGACCCTTTTACGTTCGAGGCACTGTCGGTGAATAGAGTCCATACCCCTGATGATGTGCCCGTTTCTAGCAAGAATTCTTTATTTACCTCGGGCATGAGGGAAGGCGTAAAATCAGCCACGAATTCTACCAAAATTTGGGATTTGATAGCCGTCCGAGGTTGGTACACGATGTCATATCCTACGAGCTCGATGGCCCATTTGGCCAATCTGCCCAATAATTCACGCTTTTGCAAGATGTTTCAAAGAGGGTATGTTGTTAAAACACATATACGATGACATTGAAAATAAGGTTTTAATTTTCGAGATGCACTTATTAATGCAAGAGCTAATTTTTCTAAGTGTGGATACCTGGTTTCAGCATCTCCTAGAGTCTGACTTACGTAATAAATAGGGAATTACATACCTTGTTCTTCGCGAACCAACACACCACTTACCGCTACTTTGGATACGGCCAGATACAAGTACAACATTTCATCTACCTTCAGGGTGTGGAGCAAAGGCGGGCTCAAGAGATACAACTTTAATTCCTCTAAAGCACGTTGGCATTCCAGAGTCCACTCAAAGCTATTTTTCTTCTTGATCAAGGAGAAGAAATTATGATGCCGATCTGACGATCTCGAGATGAATCGGCCTAAGGCCGCTATCCGCCCGGTCAGTCGTTGTACGGCCTTTACATTGTTCACCACTATGATTTCTTCAATGGCCTTGATTTTTTCGGGGTTGATCTCGATCCCCCTATTTGACACCATGAAGCCTAAAAAATTTCTCGATCTTACTCCGAAGGCACATTTTTCGGGGTTGAGCTTCATGTTGTAACTTCTAAGGGTATCGAATGTTTCCTGCAAAAGAGTCAAATGGTCCTCTACGCGCAGAGACTTAACTAGCATGTCATCAATGTAAACTTCTATAGATTGACCTATTTGATGTTCGGACATCTTATTAACTAGGTGTTGGTATGTAGCTCCTGCGTTTTTTAGCCCGAATGACATTACTTTATAACAGTATGTACCATGCTTCGTGATGAACAAAGTTTTTTCCATGTCCTTTGGGTTCATTTGAATTTAATTATAACTGGAATAGGCATCGAGAAAAGTGGGGATCTCATGGTCGGTCGTGTCATCGATCAAGCGATCGATGTTGGGCAATAGGAATGAGTTTTTGGGTCATACTTTATTCAAGTCTTTATAATCTACGCAAATTCTCAATATATTTCCTTTTTGGGGACCACAACTACATTAGCCAACCATTCGAGGTATTTTACCTCCCTAATTTATCCTATTTAGAGGAGTTTTGTTACTTCGTCTTTGATGAACACATGTTTTACCTCGGATTGAGGCCTCCTTTTTTGCTTTACTAGTTTGAACCTAGGATCGACACTTAGTTGATGGGTGGTTATTTCCGGCGGGATCCCTGTCATGTCTAAATGGGACCAAGCAAAGCAATCAACGTTGTTAATAAGAAATTGGATGAGTTTTTTTCTGAGTTCGGGGGTTAATCCTGTTCACAGGTATACCTTTCGTTCTGGAAGATGCTTGATCAAGACGACATGTTCGAGTTATTTGACCGTTGATTTTGTTGCATCCGACTCCTAGAGGGCAATGAAGGTCCGAGGAGTGAGGAAGTCTTCTTCATCATCTTCATTCGAATGCTCACAGACCACCTATTCCTCGGGGGTCAGCCTATTTCCTAACTCATCCTAGACGGGGAGAGTCGATGTTGGTGCCACGTCATTTACCACGAACCTCTCCTTTGTTGTACGTTGTTCTCCGTACACCGTTTTATACCATCTTTTGTTGGGAACTTCATCATCTGGTGAAGAGTTGATAGTACCGCCCTCATGTTGTGTATCCACGGTCTTCCAAGTAAGGCATTGTACCTCATGTTACCTTCGATGTCATGAAACTTGGTGTCTTGAACTGTACCGGACACGGTGACTACGAGGATGATTTCTCCCTTCATTGTCTCGCTTGCCATGTTGAATCCATTGAGGATTCGAGAGGTGGGTATGATCTGGTCGAACAGTCCGAGCTGATCCACCACCTTCAACCTAATTACGTTGGCCGAGCTACCTGGATCCACGAGCATACATTTAACTTGAACGTTATTCAAAAGAAAAGAAATTACCAGTGCATCATCATGTGGTTGGGACAAGGCCTCGATGTCTTCTTCTCTAAATATAAGGGCGTCTTCGGTTATATATCTTCGAGTTTGCCTTTCCGTTTCGATGGACACTTTGGCCCATTTGAACATGGGTCTCTATGGGACGTCAGTTTCTCCAATGATCATGTGAATGATGTGCTGAGGTTCTTCTGGTCCGTTCTTTCTATGAAGCCCAATACCATTTTTTCCTGCGCATTTGCTGAGTTAGACATTTTTTGACCTAAAATCAAAGATTCTTGGACAGGAAAAGTATGAAGAATAACTTATGTTTTCAGAAAACTAGCACCAAAAGAATCACTATTATTTTTAGCCCCACGGTGTGCGCCAAACTGTTTACCTTGAAAATGGTATTGACAATTATATTTGATTTTGTGGTTCTAAAAATATATGATTTATTTCAATACTAGTTGTTAGGCAATAGATGCTAAATGTAAGTAAAGAGAATAAGATATGAAAACCAATACTGTCACAAGGCTGGGCCTCGAGCTGGCTGGAATATGGGCTTCGAGGTCTAGTTAGGGCAGTTAGCAATGAACAATTGATGAAGAAACAATGATAATGAATGCCTCAAAGGTAGCCTTCTGCGGTTAATAATGGGCAATAAATGAAGAATAATAAATGAACAAGCAACAAATCTATAGAGTAATTATTGAACACATTTAGGCAAAAAGAGTAGAGAATGTTGTATATTATTCAATATTCATATGTGTCTTACAAAATGATAAGGGTTACCTTTATATAGGAGGGGGGAATCCCAACATAGTACATGTATAATAATAATGAGGAAATGCTATTAGTACGGCTGTATAACGGCTTAGTACGGATTTGTACTATTTCTCGCAGACTCTGTTAGTTCTAATCACGTGCCCTCGGGAATTTCTCGTCTTTCCATGACGTTCGTCGATTTTCATGCTTCCTCGAGGTATGCTATGATGAGTCTTCGATATACCCCCCCTCCCCCGAGGCGAGTGTTTCGGGAACGAGCCACAGAACGTGCTCCGAGCCCATCGAGGCTATCACACCTCCTTTTTCTTACCCCAGAAGGGTATAAGGGAGTTTTTTTCAATTTAAGTGACAATTGAAACGAGATTATTTGTTTAAAATCAGAGTCGCCACTTGGGATAATTTATGGTGTCCCAAGTCACCAGTTAAAATCCCGAATCGAGGAAAGATTTGACTCTGTTTTACAGTCTGCGAAATACAGAAATCCGGGTAAGGAATTCTGTTAACCCGAGAGAAGGTGTTAGGCATTCCTGAGTTCCGTGGTTCTAGCACGGTCGTTCAACTATTATTATTGTCCTATTTATTTGATTTATTACACATATAGAACTTACGTGCATCTTTTAAACCTTATAACCGCTTTTATTTATTTAAAGAATTAATCCAAGGTTATTTAAACACGTCACAAGCCACGCTACATGAAATGAACCTTGATTCACGACACGTTCTATTTAACCTTGTTGGAAATTAGAACCGGGTCACATGAAATGCACACCCAGATTTTAGATTTATGTATTGTGACCATGTCACGGGAACCGTACCCAGGGCCATGATGATTTATTTATCCTTGTTTGACTTACATGAATCCATTTACTTTTACAATTCTACTGCACAGAATACCTTCATAGAGAAACATCAGGAACTGAGTAAGCTTGGTAATTTAAACCAAAGGTATGGAATCATTAAGATTGATGTATGCAAGTTATATATCAAACAAAATACATAATACTATCCTACTGACACGTGGAATTTATTCAATTCTCTTTTAGAATGTCAAATATATCAATTGATGCTTCAAGTTCTTATATATTGACAAGAATAACATGGGACAGTATTCACCTACTCAAAGTTAAGGCAACTAAATCGTTCCAACAGTGAAGAAAACGGGATAAAATACAAAGGACTGGAGGATAGATTATACATAACTCAAACAACAAATAAAGTAAAGCAACCAAGGATTGATAACAACCTGTAAATTAGAACAAAAGACGAACCTTTTATATACATGGAGATGAATACAAAGATACAAGCTCGACGAGAGAGCTCGAACAAGCCGGACCGGGCACAGAGAACTTCACCGTCGACGAACTCGAATCAACCTCGATTTAACTCCATTCCCATACTCGAAGAACCGAAAATCAGAATCAAATGAAGAACAGAAACGTTATCATCGGCAGACTTGAACTTCAAATGGAAATCCGAATCAAATAATTCAAACTGACTCCATCATTGAAATCGAAATCCACAGAAAAAGACCAAAGTATTTTTGGATTATTGATTGAGAAATCTAATAGAACTGATTTTTATATCTAAATTAGGATACTAAATCGGAAAGGACAAGTCAGAATCGAAACCAAACCCTTCCCCTCGATTTCGTTCACTTTCCGTCACCCTATGTCCGGTTTCCTTCGTTTCCCTTCTCCGTTCCCTCCTCCATTTCCCCTCTACTGTATCTGCGTATATGGTTGAAGAAGAAGCAGAACTGATGTGGTTGTTTGGGTGTAACGGCTGCTTCCTTAGGTGTATATCTCTCGGAGCTTTTTTCCGATTAAGAAGACGATCAGGGGGCGTTTGTGTTTGGTTGAAGAACGACGGAGGGCTTCTGTTGAAGGATATAGAAACGCTGGGAGGGGGTTCCTTGAAAACGGCGCTGCCTTCTTCAGCTGTCCTAGCTTTAGGCGTCGGTCTATATCTCTTATTTTTGCGTATTTCAGCTCATTTCAGGCGTTAGTTTTTGGGGTCTAGGGGTCTTTCCTTTATTTGTGTTCCCAAAGAAGAGTCTAGAAGGGTCCCTAGGGTTAGCTTAATGGGTATTGGGTATTGGGATTAATGACTTTTGGGTTGGGTCTATGTGTTATTGGATTAAAACTGACCTAAAACTTAAAACTCATAAACTATAGACCCAAATCCAATTCTTCTTGTACAATAGTATAAAACACCTATAAAAATGTAAAATCACTCCTAATTGATTGAAATAGACTATTAAAGACAAATCTAAAATGAAACTATTTTTTTGGTATTTTTTAATAAAATAAAAGCTCTAGTAAAATAGTATGACTACGACACATCATTAGAACTATTTTTTTTTGTAATTTTCATTTTTTTCTTGTGACAAAATAAAGTAAAAGAGTCAAAATTAGTTGAAATAAAGATATTAGGCCTAAACTAAATATTTACGTGCTCAAATATAAAAAATATTGAGGAAGGTCAAAAATCACATGTCTACAGAGGCCGGGCTTGAAACGCCATAGAAGCCTTAAAATCAGCCTTCCCTGATTTTGACCGTATACACGATGAAAGGGGGTCTTGAACCCGTAGCACAAGCACCTCTCCGTCACCAGTCTCCACAAATGCTCGGACACATTGCTACAGTAAATATCCAAAACCTCTTGTTAACAACATAAACAAAAGAAGGGAAGAGAAAATGGTTGGAGAGGCAGCGTAAAACAATGAAAATGTAAAAATAAAATCCTATGGACTATCAGAAATACCACCGGGGTAAGGTTATTTAAGAGTTAATCCCACATGAGCAGACATCTAAGTTGTTTCACATGAGCATGTAGATTATTTTGCAGATCCAGTAATAAACCCAAGGTAAACCAATTAGCCCGCGGAACAAGCTTAAATTTTCCTTTTTAATAATAATGGTGTTTCGGGCCAGCGTGCGCCCTCGGCTATCCGTGGGGTACCTTCTTCCTCCTACCGGCACAAGTATGAGGTAACTCTCCCCATGAACTTAGATAGATGAGAAGAGCTCGTTGTCGGCTCTACTTGAACTCGAATATGGGTTCCCAAGGTTGTCACTTCAACTCAGCAATCACTGGCCACCTGATACCTTGGAGACTCAACAAGCTTAAACGGTTGGGTTTTTAAGTATAATATGGCTTAAAAGAGGGTGAATGGGAAAGAGAGGGAAATGAAATTTTTAAGTGAAATTTTATGTTTTTCCCCCTTGATAAAGGAACATTGTCCCATATTGGAAGAGGAAGAGGTTTTTAATAGGTATATAAGCAATTGCTCTTCTTCTATCTCTAAAAGAGTTGAGAAGAAGGCAAGCCTCGCGCCCTCGTCATCGTCGCTCGCTAGGCTCGGCTCGGCTTCGTCTTCGGCTTCCTCTTCGGCTTCGGATTCAGATTTGGTCAAATGATCGATTGATTGATTAATCTTTTGGACCAAATTTGTTTGTTAATAGTAAATATTAACAGAAATGTTATTAAATATCCTTTCCCTCTTTATTGTTGAGTAAATAGCCATTTATGTTATGGCATTTATGTTGTGGTCGTTTTGCATAAACAACCATTCTGAGAGTTGCACCTCTTCATATTTCAGCCCAACATTGACTATAAATACAAGTTCATTCTCTCAAACTTTCCATACTATTTTCTGAGTTTCTCCTCCTTCTTCTGCATTGTTTTAACTTCAAAGAAAGAAACAGTAAGTGTGATTTGCTACCGAACTCTGTGTTCGCTGAAACACTGGGGTTTGAAGTACCACTACACCAGTGTGTAATTCGTTCTATCCTGGGAGAAAATAATCCATAACCTTGGGTACTAGGAGGGTATTAAATTCCTTAAGAAAACACTGTGAATTCAGTGGGCTCGGATTAATTTTTGTTTCATTTATATTTTTGTTTATGTTGTTTTATCTTTTCTAAAATTAGTTTACAAATAGAGTTTACTAACAAGCTTAAGGAATTTAATTTGTATTCTGTATTTGTGTTATATTCACTATTTTGGAGTTTAAAACCTTTGTGGTTTTTTACTTTGTTAAAGATTAAAATCTACGTGATTTTAACGCTTGTTTGTGTCATTCTTTTACAGAAATGACTAATGATAACGGGAACCAGGCTATTCCAGTGGTGAATGCCAATGCATTAACAAGCCGAACACTGGCGTTGGCACCGATGGAGTAACCCTAAAAAAATTCTAGTTAGATTTCAAGTGGTGGCAACAGAAGATGTTTTTCTACTTGACTACTTTAAATCTGGAGAAGTTCATCAAGGAAGATGTTCTTGTTCTGCCTCTCCAGAGAATGAACGCTTTCTCTTGATTGAGGCGTGGAAGCATTCTGATTTTCTGTGCAAGAATTATGTTCTTAGAGGATTGGGGGACGATTTGTATAATGTCTACAGTGGCGTGGAGGCATCAAAAGAATTGTGGACTCCGCTTGCAAAGAAATACAAAACTGAAGATGACGGGTTGAAGAAATTCGTTGCCGCCAAGTTTTTGGACTACAAAATAGTAGATAGCAAGTCTATTATTACCCAAGTTCAGGAATTGCAAGTGATTATTCATGATCTCCTTGCTGAAGGTATAAATCAAATTAATACTGATATTGAAAGTAGTAATCTTAGTATTTTTACTAACAGAATTTTCATTGAAGGTTTTGTCATCAATGAAGCATTCCAAGTAGCAGCGATGATTGAGAAGTTGTCTCCTTTGTGAAAGGACTTAAAAAACTACTTGAAGCACAAATGCAAGGAGATGTCCCTTGAAGATCTCATTGTTCGGCTGAGAATCGAAGAGGACAACAAAGCTGCTGAAAAGAGAGGCCGTGGAAACTCAACAATAATGGGAGCAAACATTAATGAGGATACTTCTCAAAATAAGAGAAATAGGAAACAGGCTTCTGAACCGAAAAGCAACCCAAGCAAGAAGCGGTTCTACAGAAATTGCTACAATTATGGGAAAGCTGGGCACAAATCTACGGAGTGTCGTGCTCCGAAGAAAGACAAGAAGAAAGGTCAAGCAAACACAGTTGAAAAGCATGAAGATGTTGATGACTTGTGTGTTATGCTTTCTGAATGCAACTTGGTGGGAAATCCTAAGGAGCAGTGGATTAATTCTGGAGCCACTCGCCATGTTAAGAGAAGCCTTTGCAACATACGCTCTTGTTAGACCCGAAGAGACTCTTTCTATGGGAAATGCTGCAACCGCCAAGATTGAAGGATGTGGGAAGATCTTTTTGAAGATGACTTCTGGCAAGGTGGTGACTTTGAACAACGTCCTTCATGTTCCCGAGATTAGGAAGAATTTAGTCTCTGTTGGACTTCTTGTTAAGAATGATTTTAAATGTGTTTTTGTATCCGATAAAGTTGTAATAAGTAAGAACGAAATATTTGTAGGAAAAGATTATCTCATTGAGGGCCTTTTTAAGCTGAATGTAATGGTTGTCGAGAGTAATAATAAAATTTCAGCTTCGTCTTACTTAATTGAGTCAAATGAATTATGGCATATACGTTTGGGTCATGTCAATTATAAAACCTTGCGGAAAATGATTAACTTGTAAGTATTGCCTAAATTTGAATGCGACAAATTAAAGTGTCAAATATGTGTGGAATCTAAGTATATTAAACATCCTTATAAGTCAGTTGAAAGGAATTCAAATCCTTTAGACTTAATTCACACAGATATTTGTGACATGAAGTCAATACCATCTCGCGGTGGAAAGAAGTATTTCATAACTTTTATTGACGATAGTACTCGATATTGCTATGTTTACTTACTTAATAGTAAAGATGAAGTAATAGACGCATTCAAGCAATACAAAAATAAAGTTGAAATGCAACTTAACAAGAAAATCAAAATGATAAGAAGTGATAGGGGTGATGAATATGAATCTCCTTTTGAACAAATATGTTTAGAATATGGAATTATTCATCAAACAATGTCCCCTTACACTCCCCAATCCAATGGGATTGCGGAAAAAAAGAATCGTTCATTAAAGGATACGATGAACGCATTGTTGATAAGTTCTGGTTTGCCACAGAACTTGTGGGGGGAAGCCATTCTTACGGCTAACTGAATACTAAATAGAGTAGCCTATAGCAAAACACAATCTATTCCATATAAAAAATGGAAAGGAAGGAAACCTAACTTGAATTATTTAAAGTGTGTGGGTGTTTGGCAAAAGTACAAGTTCTTAAACCCAAAAAGGGTAAAAATAGGACCGAAAACCGTTGACTGTGTTTTCATAGGGTATGCGACCAATAGTAAAGCATATCGGTTTCTGGTTCATCAATCAGAAAATCCCGACATTCATAATAATACGGTTATAGAATAAGATAATGCTGAGTTCTTTGAAAATATATATCCATATAAAAAGGAATGTGAGTCGATTGGTGAAGGATCTAAACGACCTCGGGAAGAAACAAAAGAAAGTACATGTAATCAGGAGGATCCAAGACGTAGTAAACGTCAAAGAACGTCTACTTCATTTGGACCAGATTTTGTGACTTTCTTATTGGAGAATGAGCCTCAAACATTTAAAGAAGCTATGACTTCTTCGGAATCATTGTTTTGGAAAGAGGCAGTCAATAGTGAAATAGAATCCATATTGAACAACCATACATGGGAATTGGTTGATCTTCCTCCTGGAAATAAACCTTTGGGTTCTAAATGGATTTTTAAGAGAAAAATCAAAGATGATGGCACTATTGATAAATTCAAGGCAAGGCTCGTAGTCAAAGGGTATAGACAACGAGAAGGTCTAGACTACTTTGATACATACTCTCCAGTTACAAGAATTACGTCCATACAAATGTTAGTAGCATTAGTTGCAGTGTATGGTCTTGAAATTCATCAAATGGATGTTAAGACGACCTTCTTGAATGGAGATTTGGAGGAAGAAATCTACATGGAACAACCTGAAGGGTTTGTGGTTCCAGGTAAAGAAAAGAAGGTATGTAGACTTGTTAAGTCGTTTTACGGACTAAAACAAACACCCAAACAATGACATGC